ACCTGGATCACAGCGTAGAATCAAGGTGGAATCCATTGATTAGCTGTGCAAAGAATGACACATTTGATTTTTTTTTTTGATTACATAAATTTTCTTGCAACTAATACAGCAAGTCGTGAGGCTTCAGCTAACATATGCATGTGACCTCGGTGACAGAATAAACTATTCTTATTTCTTTCTCTCTTTTTTAAGCACTTAATTTAATATTCTAATTGTTCTCCGAATTCAGTCTTTCTTCCCTGACGTTGTTGTTTAAGCTAATGTTAATCTTTTACAGCTCTATATATTTAAAGGGAGACAAATAATTTAGCGGAAAAAGAACGTTAGGACAGCACACATTTCTGTTGTAAATCATCCTGCGACTTAAAGCGACTTTAGGCGACTTTAGGCGACTTTAGGTGACTTAAGGTCCCAGAGTAGGCCTCCGCTTTACGATACTCGGTCAACAACAAACGCTTTAAGAACGAGAGAAACATACAGCTTCTTATCTTTTTTTGTGTGTTACATGTGTGCGGTAATGGCATATTTTCATCCCGCTTTATCGTTCCGGAGGGAACAGAAACATGCTTGTACATGTCATCTTAGTTGGAATTTGTATTTCAAAGAGGTGCAAAAAAAATCGCAAATTTGGCAATTATTTAACAAAAAATTGTGAAGTTAGTGAAAAATCGGGTGGATAAGCATAAAATTGTAAATTTCGCCACAACGTACCGAAAAATCGTCGAGGCAGCGAATTTTTGTAAATCTTGTAGAGTTTAACAAAAAAATCGCAAAATTTGTTAAATTAATTTGAAATTCAAACGAAAGATCGTAGAATTTGTAAAATTTGAAACGGCGTTCAATCCTGGTCTCGGGAACAGGCGATTTATGCGTCTACTCCCAATAAAGGGGAAGTGATTTCGCTAATTAGACAAATATTTGAAGACTAAAAACCTAATTATTATTGCACAAATTATTGAACTAACTGGATTATTCAAATAAGGGCAAAATTCTATCATTTAATCAAAAGTTGCAGCCAGATTTACGCTTTAATTTCGAGTTACAAACTTCATTCCGAAAAATTGACTGTCAACCATCAAATGACCTACAATTTAATCGTCAACTGTCAAAACCACTTATTTTTAACCATCAATCGTCAAAGGCAACACACCNCCCCCCCCCCCACCCCTCCCCCTCTCATTGAGACCCTCCTCTTCGTTTGCATTGCACTTCACACTTTGGGTGACCGTACACGCATTTGGCTTGCATACAAAACCGGCCACAAGAAAGTGATACACGGTAGCTACTTTCAGCTGATGATTTCATATCGCTGTCAATGTCTTACGTCACTGACAAATTACACCTTTTGCTGTTTATTTACAGAAAATATCCATTCATTTGTGTTCAAATTTGTTTCATTATGGTTAATATATTCTCATTATCAC